TGAAAGATCAGATCAATTAACAACTTGTTGTTAAAGTGATTTACATGAATGTGAAAAGTAGTAAGTAGCAATTGGTGTAAGTAGCCATTTAGTACTGGCCTAGATTAATGCCTCAGTAATTACCAATAAGCACTGAAATATACAGAGGTGGGGGAAAAGAACAAAGGAGAAAATGAAATCCCGAGACAACTTGAAAAGAAAATAACAGAAGAATGGCCATACTGGTGAGACCAAGAGTCCATCTAGTCCAGTATCCTATCTTCCAACAGTGGCTGGTATCAGATGCTTCAGCGGGAATGAATAGAACAGGGCAGCTTATTGAGTGATCCATCCCCTGTCAGACTCAACTTCTGACAGTCAGAAGTTTAGGGTCACCCAGAGTGTAGGGTTGTGTCCCTGACCATCTTGGCTAAGAACCTTTGATTGACCTATTTTCCATGAACTTATCTAATTCTTTTTTTAACCCAGTTTTACTTTTTGTCTTCACAACATCTGCAGGCAACCAGTTCCACGGGTTGACTGAGCATTGTGGGAATAAGTACTTCCTTATATTTGTTTTAAACTTGTTTTAAAATTACTGCCTATTAATTTCATTGGGTGATCCCTAGTTCTTGTGTTATGTGAAAGGGTAAATAACACTTTCTTAGTCATTTTCTCCCCACCAGTCATGATTTTATAGATCTCTATCTTATCCCTCTTTAGTGGTCTCTTTTCTGAGCTGAACAGTCCCAGTCTTTTAAATCTCTCCCATATGGAAGTTGTTCCACACCCCTAACCATTTTTGTTGCCCTTCTCCGTACTTTTTCCAACTCTAGTATATCTTTTTTGAGATGGGGAGACCAGAACTACATGCAGTATTTAAGGTGTGCTGTAGCATGGTTTTATATACTGGCAATATGATATTTTCTGTCTTATTATCTATTCCTGTCCTTATGGTTCCTAACAATGTTAGTTTTTTTGACTGCTACTGCACCTTGAGCTGTTTTCAGAGAACTAGGTACATTCTTGATGTAATCTTTTTGCAAAAAAAAAAAAAAAAAGTACACGAAGTCCTGTTTCCATGAACACCATGGAAAATGAATAACAGCAGACAGATTCCTTGCTCAGAAATCCCCAAATGTGTCAATGCAGTGAGTTCTTTGTCTAAGAAGTTGGGTCTCTTTGCTTCCTTTCAGGGTCACACTCACAACTTTCTGTTCTGGCTTGCTCCTTCTAACATACAACCTGTAACCAATATTTTAGGCCCTGGTTTGCAAACAGGGGAACCTCTTCTGATTTAGCTCTGCCCTGGCAATGAGCCACATGTATCTATAGTTATTTTTACTACATAAAGGGTCTTAATTGTTCCTTCTGTTGAGCCTATAAAGGAGGACTTGACACATCCATTGGCATTAATGAGGTCTCTTGATTGTCTTTGGATCCAAGACACTCATCCTGACAATGATAGCAATTTGTACCCATCTAAACACAAAATTCCCCCACCCTATAAAGAATGGTCATATAAATATAATGAGGTACATACTGAGTTGTAACTTTTCTTTTTGACTATAAAAACAGTAAACAAGACACCCCTTTGGCTTCAGTTGGATTCCCCTTGAAAGAAGACTACAGAATCCAGGCCATTTAACAGAAAGAAGAATGCAATAGGAAGAAGAAATGCAACACAGTGGACAATGCTATTCCACAACAGATGGGAAAGGATCAAAATGGAATTTGTAAGAGACAGCTCCTGGAAAACTCTCTTCAAGGGTGTCCTCAGTCCTTTTAGGCTACTTAACCAAAAGACAAGGTTCATAACAGAAAACAAATGAAACAGAACACCTAGATTTTGAGACCCACTAGTCTGGGAGTGAAGAGCTGTTTCCGGTGATCTGAAAAAAGCGTGTGTGTGTGTGTGAGTGTGAGAGAGAGAGGGTGTCTATCATCACCCCCACATCTGCCCTTCCCCCTGCACAGAAATTAATTATACTCCCCAACCTCCAATTCTTCCCCCTTGTCAGTTATGCCCCTCTCCCTAGCCTCACCTCTGCTCCTCCTGGGATAATTCAACCCTCTCCCCCAGGCCTGCGGGCTGCAGCAGAGTCCTCTGTCCCCCTTCTCAGGCTGGGTGTTGCAATGAGACAGGGAAGGAGTGGAGTCATACTGAGCGTTGGGCTCTTTATCTTCTTCCCCCCCACTCCCTCCTGTAAGAAGAGAGGGTGAGGGGAGAGCTCTGCAGAAACCCTGATTGACCTCTCCTTCCCCAGGAGGTAGGCAAGTGGGGAAAGCAGCCAATCAGAGAAGGCCAACCACTAACCCAGGAACCTATCCTTGCAACAAAGCCCGTTGCCAACTGTGCCCACATATCTATTCAGGGGACACCATCACAGGGCCTAATAACATCAGCCACACTATCAGAGGCTCGTTCACCCGCACATCCACCAATGTGATATATGCCATCATGTGCCAGCAACGCCCCTCTGCCATGTACATGGTCAAACTGGACAGTCTCTACGTAAAAGAATAAATGGACACAAATCAGATGTCAAGAATTATAACATTCATAAACCAGTCGGAGAACACTTCAATCTCTCTGGTCATGCGATTACAGACATGAAAGTTGCGATATTACAATAGAAAAACTTCAAATCCAGACTCCAGCGAGACACTGTTGAATTGGAATTCATTTGCAAATTGGATACAATTAACTTAGGCTTGAATAGAGACTGGGAGTGGCTAAGTCATTATGCAAGGTAACCTATTTCCCCTTGTTTTTTCCTCCGCCCCCCCCAGACGTTCTTGTTAAACCCTGGATTTGTGCTGGAAATGACCCACCTTGATTATCATACACATTGTAAGGAGAGTGAACACTTTACATAAGCTATTACCAGCAGGTGAGTGGGGTGGGGGGAGAGAAAACCTTTGGAGTGATAATCACCCATTTTTTCATGGTTTGTGTGTATAAAAACGTCTTCTGTATATTCCACAGTATGCATCCGATGAAGTGAGCTGTAGCTCACGAAAGCTTATGCTCAAATAAATTGGTTAGTCTCTAAGGTGCCACAAGTACTCCTTTCCCCTGTGTGATACTAAAGTTGTGCACCACTCAGTGACCCAGCTCACTGCTTAGAAATTTTATTTCCCAGGTCTGTGATCCATTTCCACCTGGTGCACTTTAAGTGCTACAGCAGCACTTACCCACCGTGTCTGCTGCATTATATTTGCACCTATTAATTGGATCCAGTTTCCCCAGCCTCTGCTCCCTGAAGCACAAGTAAAATATTCCTCTGGGTCCCAGGGCCAGAGATTAGCTGTTTCATAAGAGAAACTGCAAATGGGGGAAACATAAGGAACATCTTTTGGGACCCAAAGGTCCTGTACTGCCCAGACCAGAAGTTGTTAATGGGAAACAGTCATATATTTCTATGATGCAGTTGAAATATACAAATATAGACTGGATGTAGATTTAAGATACAGATTAGATTAAATTTAGCATTTAGATTTAGGATATAGTTTACAGCAGTGATTTTCAAACTTTTTTTCTGGCAACCCAGTTGAAGAAAATTCTTCATGCCCGCAACCCAACAGAGCTGGGGTGGAGGGGTTTGGGAGGGGCTCAGGGCTGGGGCAGAGGGTTGGGGTGCAAGGGTGAGGGCTGCAGGGTGGGGCCAGGAATGAGGGGTTCAGGGTGTGGGAGGAGGCTCTGGACTGGGGCAGGGCTTGGGGTATGGGAGGGGGATAGGGTTCTGGGCTGGGGGTGCAGGCTCTGGGGTAGGGCCAGGGATGAGGGGTTCGGAGTGTAGTAAGAGGCTCCAGGTTTGGGGGGCTCAGGGCTGGGGCAGGGGATTGAGGCACAGGATTACCTTGGGTAGCTCCCAGTCAGCAGTGCAGCAGGGGTGCTAAGGCAGGCTTCCTGCCTGTCCTGGCACTGTGGACCGTCCTGCACCCCAGAAGCAGCCAGCAGCAGGTCTGGCTCCTAGGCAGAGGCACACAAGCAGCTCCTCATAGCTCTCACCCGCAGGCACCGCCCCCTCCCCCACTCCCATTGGCCGGGAAGCCAGTGCTCAGGGTGGGGGCAGTGGGCGGAGAACCACTGCTCCCCCACCTAGGAGTCGGACTTGTGGCTGGCTGCTTCTGGGGCGCAGCGCGGTGTCAGAACAGGTAGGGACTAGCCTGCCTTAGTTGGGCAGCACCGCTGATGGGCCTTTTAACAGCCCGGCCGGCGGTGCTGACGAGCGCCGAGACAACCCAGTGCCTTACATTCCGTGACCCAGTACTGGGTCTTGACTCGCAGTTTGAAAACCGATTGGTTTACAGGTAGTAAAACATGTCAACTGATTGTGGTAAACCATAGCTCCTCAGCATTAAGCATCCCCTAAGGTTACCCACAACCAGCTAACCAGTTTTTCAATACAACTTGTCCTGTCCAGAGGTAGCACGGTCTAATGACGACCCAGCACGTGTTGTTCATTTTAAGAACACTCTCACTGCAGATCTGGCAAAACACAAAGAAGATAACAATGTGAGATTTCAAAGGATAGATACAGCACTCAAACCAAGGTTTAAGAATCTGAAATGCCTTCCAAAATCTGAGAGGGATGAGATGTGGAGCATGCTTTCAGATGTCTTAAAAGAGCAACACTCCAATGTGGAAACTACAGAACCCGAACCATAAAAAAGAAAATCAATTTTTTGTTGGTGGCATATGACTCAGATGATGAAAATGAACACGTGTCGGTACGCACTGTTTTGAATCATTATCGAGCAGAACCCATCATCAGCATGGACGCAAGCCCTCCGGAATGGTGGTTGAAGCATGAAGGGACATGAATCTTCAGTGCATCTGGCATGTAAATATCTTGCAACGCCAGCTATGACAGTGCCATGTGAATGCCAGTTCTCACTTTCAGGTGACATTGTAAACAGGAAGGGGGCAGCATTATCTCCTGCAAAGGTAAACAAACTTGTTTGTCTGAGCGATTGGCTGACCAAGAAGTAGGACTGAGTGGACATGTAGGCTCTAAAGTTTTACATTGTTTTATTTTTGAATGCAGGTTTTTTTGTACATAATTCGACATTTGTAACTTCAACTTTCATGATAAAGAGATTGCACTATAGTACTTATAATGGGTGAATTGAAAAATACAATTTCTTTTGTTTTTTACAGTGCAAATATTTGTAATAAAAATAAATATAAAGTGAGCACTGTACATTTTGTATTGTGTTGTAATTGTAATCAGTATATTTGAAAATGTAAAAACACCCACAATATTTAAATAAATAGTATTCTATTATTAACAGCACAACTAATTGTACGATTAATCACGATTAATTTTTGTAATCGCATGATTAATCGCAATACATTTTGTCAATCGCTTGACAGTCCTATTTTTTGTACATTATACCGTTTTTTTTGTACAACTTGTTGCATATATTGATTGAAATCCTGGTCCCACTGAAGTCAATGGCAAAAGTCTTACTTCAGTGGAACCAGGATTCACTCTGTGAATCTGACACAGTGCCAGCTGTCTTTGGAAATGAGTAAGTATACAAACTTTTAATTTAATTTGGAGTATTAACTACATCTTATAGCTAACATCACCTATACATTTCCATTCTAAGACTCCTTCTAGAATTTTCAGTTTTGGGCAGCAATTTTCCAAGCCTAGTCATTGTCTGAGATTGAAATATTTTGGAAAGTGAGCAGAAGTTGTTCAGATGTTTTTTAGAAAGGAGAGGAGAACGTATACAATTCCCAAGAAAAAGAACCACCCTTCTATGTATTTGAACAGGTATAAAACAGAAACTGTTGGTATAAAACAGAAAGCTGACATTTGGCAGAGAAAATAGTCCTCAGGGAAGATAAATGCCTCAGTGTTCTAGTACATGCTGTTGTTGTAGCCGTGTTGGTGCCCAGGATATTACAGAGACAAGGTGGGTGAGGTAATATCTTTGCTTTGATTTTGCCAAGTTATCAAGTTTGAAGAACATGCACAGGTTTTTTGTTGTGGTAAGAGATTACAATTTTATCTCCCAACATCCTAAAGGAAATCAAGCATGGGTAAATTACTTGTATAAAGAAAAGTGTAGTGAATTTGTGCACTGAGATCCCAATCCAGCAAAGCTCTTAAAACAAAATCTGTTTCTAAATACTAGCTTCCCTGAAGAACCTCATCACTACTCCTCTCTGGAATAAATAGTGATTCTAGAAATTGTGGAGTGTAGGTAACTAAAATTTAGCAGAAAGCCTGGTATCCAATTCTGCAGTCCTAGCCGTAGTCCCATTGCTTTCAACAGATATACTGCTGTGACTGAGGGACTGCAGGATTGAACCCCAAATTATGTACTTATGCAGCTGTGCAAATCATTGGGAACAAAAAGGTTTTGTCCTATGTAAATTGTAATTATTACAGTATGTTTTATTGTTATTTTTTCCACTGCAATACCTTATCATATTTTGAAATTATACCGAAACAAAGAATATACGGGGGGGAAATATTGCAGCTATTTTAAAAAAAGACTGAAAATAAAGTTTAAAACATTTTTATCTCACTATAGCTATTAAATTATTGAAAACTGAAACAAATCTGTTCCTCATTCCTTAATGGTGTATGCATTAGTTAATTATTTTATGGCATTTAATATGTGGTGAACTGTGTTTTAAGAAACAAACAAGATTAAAACTTTGCAACCACCAGGGAAGAAAGGTGCAGCTCACATTCTGAATCTACCACCTTTATCTATGCTTATATACAACAAACCCCAAAATACGTTTACACAACTAATTTACACAACTAATTCCTTCCTTTGTGGGACGCTATAAAATGAAATGAGTACTTATTATTTGACGTTGCAAAAATATAAAATGGATAGTTGGTTTACAAACTAAAAGCGCTAAATGTAAAACAAAGAAACATTTAAAAAAATATATCGGACAAAGTCCAAAATTTACATATTCTAAAATATTCAATTCATGTTTTATTTACAGAACAATGTTCAAACTGTTGTTGGTATTTTAATATAATTGCTAAAACTGCTGATTACATGAAAGATACACAATGAAGTTGTAACAAAAATGATCAGTTACAAAAATGTTATTTTCAATTTCTATTTAGAAATGCAAGAGGTGATTTACCACACTATAGTTTATAAATACTTGTCTGACAACTTTTATATGTCGTGGGTCTCTTAAGTGACCAATTTATTCCAACCTGATGTGCAAAAGAGTGCATTTTTGCCCATTTATAGTTGAAATATAACATTGATAATAATTATTTACACTTAAAATAAAGAAGTGTTCATGTTCCTTAGGATCATTTTAACAATTAATACTGTGAAGTTGTAACTCCCTATTTCCATATACAGGAGACAGCTCAGTCTGTAGTACTTTAAAAGTTTTCTTGAGATTGTGGTAAATTAAGGAACAATTAACAACCCCTTCCCACCCCTCCCACCCCAAACTAAAACAAACAAAGGAAAATATAACCTTGCCTGAATGATTTCAAAAATAGATTTCACAGATTCTGAGGCAATGATAGTTGGAAACGCTGGCCAAGATAATCCCTTCCCATGGGAGATTTCTCAGAGGATAAACATTTTCACACAGATTCCCCTGTGGAGATCTTTCTACACACAATCCTACTGGGAGGTGCCCCCTAAAAGGCCATGGAACCTACCTTTAAAGTTGCAGGCAGCGAACTGCGGGGTTCCTGGTACCAAATCCCTCCCCTTAACAGCACAGCTAGTTCCACTGAGGTGTATTTCTAGAGACATCCCTTCATAGAGGTGCCAAGTTTCTAATCTGCCCAGAAGTTCTCGACCCCTGGCTCTGCCCAGGCCCTGCCACCACCTCCACCCCCTACTCCAATGCCCCACCCCCGTCCTGCTTCTTCCCACCCTGTCTCTTCCCTGCCCAGTTCTTCCCCCTCCCTGAAGAGCGCTGCACCTTTGCTCCTCCCCGCTCACCCCCAACGCCTCCTGATGCTGTGAAACATCTGATCTGCAGCAGGCGCTGGGAGGGAAGCGGAGGCACTGATCAGTGGGGCCCGCTGGCAGGGGGCTGCTGGTGTGTGCTCAGCACCCACCATTTTTTCCTGTGGGTGCTCTAGCCCCAGAGCACCCACAGAGTCTGCACCTATGCATCCCTTTGCCTCAGCTGTCCTGGGGAGAGTGAGGGGGAAGCTACATGACAAAGACAGTACAGTCTCAGATTGTATTATCTTTGATTAATTTTCACGGGGCCAGATTTGGAACAATATATCTCTCTACACATTCTGCCCACTTGTCCCCCCTCCCACCTCCATTCCATCCCCCGTACAGTGCATGAAAAGGCCTCTGAAGGGTACATGGAGGCAACTAAGCCCCACTCCTTTCAACACAGAAAGGGTAGATGAGTGCTGTGTCCTCTCCATTTGTTGATCCAGGGGACATATCTAGGCTATTATGAATGTGAAAAGTCTAACCTTTAGAAGAGCAAGTATTGTATGCACCAACTCACCAGCCAGATTAAAGAGAGGAATTTAAGGGGGTGGGCAAAGAAGCAGGATAACTCCGCTTGACCAACTACCCAAAATAGCCAACCTACTGCACTAATAGCTAATAAGTACAGTGAATGAGGAAAAAGGAGGAAATAAAAATGTCAGGATTCCAGCAGATGAATTTTTGTGGGTTCTAGGTGTACTATATGGTCCTTATGAAACTACACCCAAAAATCTTAAAAAAAAAAAAAAAAAAATTGTTCCCACACTTATAACTTTTTCTACAAATTTCAGTTTTGTTAGACATAATTTACCTCATTGGTACTAATGTGTACAAAGGACAAGTACGCAGAGGTTGTACTAAAACATCAAATAGAGATTTCCTCATTTTGTTTATAAAGGGCTCAGTCATTTTCTGAAATTAAAACATGTTAGTGCTAATAACAAAATTATTTTTATACTCTAAGAATACATATCTTTGAAGTATTTTAAAATACCTAACCAAGCACTGCTATATGCTCCTATGCAGTGTTCAATCCCTCTAAAAATATTTTATCTGAAAAGGTAATGATCATTCTAAACATGTTTCAACATTTAATTTTTGTTCAATTTAATTTCTTAAATTACTTTTTGGATAAAGTTTTCTGCTTTTGTTTTTAACTACAAGCTATAGTTTCAAGTTGCTGCTCTGCTTCAGCTGCCATGGCTGCTGCCTGTAACTGTTCTGTTTCACTCTGGATGGCATTGGCTGTAGTAATTTGTTTCCTTTCACTGTGCATATTGTTCTCATGCCTTTTTAGATCAGATGCTTTAGCAAATGCTTTAGTGCAAGAGCTGCAGACAAAAGGTTTTTCCCCTCGGTGTCGTCTTTCATGATCTTTTAGATGGGACTTGTGCTTGAAAGCTTTATCACACATATGGCATGCAAATGGCCTTTCATTACTATGGACTCTTTCATGCTTTTTCAGATCTGGAGCTCGAATAAAAGACTTTCCGCAAACCTCACAGCTATAAGGCTTGTAACCTGTATGGATTTTCAGGTGCTCTTTCAAGTGAGCCTGTGTGGTAAACCCTTTAGTGCACATTTCACAAACAAATGGTCTATCAGCAGTATGAAGCTTTTCATGTTTTCTCAATCGTGCTTCATCAGTAAATGTCTTACCACACGCTTGACATGCAATCTGTTCCCTGTGACCATAAAGCAAATACTCAAACTTCATGTCAGCAGCTGCTGTTGTCCATCCTGGGGTCTGTTCATCTTTCACTTCACTTATGCCATCATTAAATGTTAGAGCTTGAGGGGTTTGAGATCCTAAGTCTTTTGATTCAGTTGTTTCCATGGGCTCCACTTCTTGACCATAGCAGTTTACTTTTCGAACCTCTTCACTCCCCAACTCTTTCAGAATTGCTTCTTGAACTCTTAGTGTATTAGTAGGGGATTTCCCATCTTCCTGACTTGGAGGAGTTCCTTCTACTGTCACATCTGATGGGCTATCATCATGATCTCCAATTTCCTCAACCTCATCATCTTGGTTATCATTAGATTCTCCTATAGATCGATTTATTTTCAGACAATACTTACTCTTGGATTGGGCATTTTCTTCGGGGCTAGATACATCACGTTTCTGAGAACAGAGTTTATCCAAAAACCTAATACCAAGAATCTGACCTGATGACATCATCAAATTTACATCTTCCTTCTTAACTGAAATCTTTGCAGTATACATATAATTTAGAACCTCTTCAAATATATCAGAACGAAGGAAATCTATCTCTATTACTGATGAGCTATCAACCTCCAATTTCTTGAAAAGCTTTTTGAAGTAGGTACTGCATGCAGCAAGCACACACCGGTGCGCTCTGAATTTCACATCTTCTACCACAATAGCTATGTCACAGAATTCTCCTTCCAGACGTTGTTCATTTAATGTTTTCAGAAACACAGTTTTGTGATCATCATCATTATATTTAATGCTTTCAGACATACTGATGAAAAACTCCTGGAGAGAGAGAGAGAGAGAGAGAGAGAAAGTCTTGACTTTTTACAAGTTACTCTAAAACACTAACTCATAAGACATGATTCTAAGTGTCATCTACAAAATCAAAAATAAGAATTATCAAATGAAAACTTTAGCTTAATTTGATCAGAACATGTCCTCCAGACTGTAAAAAAGATTAATGTTAAATCTCATTTAAAACTATTACATATGCAAAGGTTTTTCACCTAGTACCATGTACATACTTTGAAGAAAAAATGCTATTTTTTTCAATGACCAATTTTATTTTGAAGGAAATATAAATTTACTCACATATTTACATTAAATCTGCTTTTGTAATTCTAACTAGCATATTAAAATTTGCATTTCAATTTGACTTACTTAGAAACTTTGTGAAGTAAATTCCTGAAACTGCTGCAACACTAGTATTTCTTATAACAAAAAGAAATGTCAATAAGTATTTACACATTTAAAACATGTAAGCTCTAGAAATGTACATAAAATAACCATTTACCATTGTGACCAAAACTAAATACAAAATATAAAAGGTTAAGCCGTACCATGAACAATGCAGGAAATTTTCTTAATAATCGATCACTAAACTTTTGACAGAAGATTAATCCTTATTATGCTCACTTTGAAACTGAAAGAAAGAACATTGGGGAAGATAAGAACAGAGAATTATACACTGTCTTAATCTGTTTCTCAAATTAAAGAACATTTTCAGCAATATTACAAGTTATTCAGGAAATTAAGAGTCTATTCTCACATTTTCAAGAAGTTAAAAACTATATAACATGTTTTGTTAAAGTAAAATGCAAATGAAATGAAGTTTTGACTGATTTTATAGCAAACAGTATTTGATCTATGAATTGTATAGGTGATTAGGAAATAGCTATACAAGTACACCACAGCTGCAGAATTGTGTGCTAAAGGCACAATGGAATCCACAGCCACAAGTTAGAGGCCTAGGTTCCCCATACAATTCAAAGATTCCAAAGCCAGAAGGAATCATTGTGATCATCTAGTCTGACCTCAAGTATAACATAGGCCATAAAATGTCCCCAAAATAATTCCTAGAGTGTACCTTTTAGGAAAACATCTAATCTTGATTTAAAAATTACCAGTGATGGAGAATCCACCACAACCCTTGCTACATTGTTCTTATGGTTAATTACCCTCAGTGTCAAAAATTTACACCTCATTTCCAGTCTTAATTTCTCTAGCTTCAACTTCCAGCCATTGGATTGTGCTGTACCCTTTTCTGCTAGATTGAATAGATTTATTATATATTTGTCCACAATGTAGGTTTTTACATACAGTAGCGTTGGAATAATTTTTATAGTGGGGGTGCTGAAAGCCACTGAACAAAACTTTAAACCCTGTATATGATGGAAACCACTTCAAGCCGGGAGTGCTGGCACCCACTCCAGCACCTCTGGTTTACAGACCGTAATCAAGTCACCCCTTAACCTTCTCTTTGTTAAATTGAATAGATTAAGCTCCTATCACTAGAAAGCACGTTTTCTAATCCTTTAATAATTCTCGTGGCTCTTCTGTGAACCCTTTCCAATTTATCAACATCCTTCTTGAATCGTGGACACCAGCAGCAATCGCACCAGTGTCAAATACAGAGGTAAAATAACCTCTCTCTGCCTACTCAGGGTTCCCGTTTATACATCCGAGGATCGCAATAGCCCTCCTTTTGGCCACAGCATCACACTGGGAGCTCATGTTCATCTCATTATCCACCATGATCCCCAAATCTTTTTCAGAGTCACTGCTTCCCAGGATAAAGTCCCCCATCCTGAAAGTATGACCTACATTCGTTGTTTCTAAATGTATACATTTACATTTAACCATATTAAAAAACAAACAAACACCATACTGTTTGCCTGAGGATTCATGAGGAGAGTTAGGTGCCAAACCTCTGGACTAAAATTATAATGGGGACAGTGGCACCGGCTCCACCTCCTCTAGCTGTTTTATGTGGGGTTAAGCATGCTTTGACAACATCTACTCCTACTGGATTGGGACCTGCAGGTTTAGGCATGAGATGGTCTCCGGAGAGCCTAGACTGAGGCATGCTCACTGGCAGAAACTTAGGCACCCATGGGACTTGAACAATATATATTTAGATGCCTAGGGAGATTAGGCATGTACAGAGAGTTAGGTGGCAGCTAAGTGACATTTCTGAGGCTCTCAGTGGCACCTCAATGTTGGCCTCAAGCGCCTAAGTCCTTTTATGGATCAGAATTCCCCCCCAATTAATGACATTCTAAAATAATCAGGTATGAGAGGTGTACAGAACAGTTTCAATGTATAAAAGAAAACAAGAACAACTTTAAAAACTATGGGACTAGGGACTAACTTTTTTACAAATTGTAAAGAGTGTTTGTTAATGGTCAATAGCATGTCCTTTTGCTTTTTTGTATAAACAAAACATTGATTTAAAATTTAAGAGTTTTTCTGTTGTCCCACTGATAAGCATCTTTTCAACCCAACAGATTGTTATGGGGAAACTGAAATAGTGTATACATAACACATTATCAAATCTCCTACCCAGTACCTATCTAGGGAACAAACACTGAGGGGGCTTTTCAATCTAGCAGAGAAAGGTATCACCTGAGCCAGCGACTGGAAGTTGAAGCAACAGAAATTCACACTCTAAGAATTATTTTGGGGAAAGTTCTCTAGCCTGTATTACACTGGAGATCAAACTAGATAATCAAAATGGTCCCTTTTGGACTTGGAAAATTTGATCTGTATAAATGCACAGGTGTATACAAACTGAAAATAGAAAATTTGCTAGCTTCTTTCAATCCTTGTAATCTTACAGCATGCACTGTGCTGCCTACTATAGAGCTAGTGTGCAGTGTAAGGCAACTGTGTAAAATTCCACTGAAAGAAGGGTCACTTTTTTTTAAACGGGCAAGTAAAATTATGTTTTGTTTCCCCCTTTTTAAACAGTTCCCCGTATTTTTGTTCTGTGGTGTACACACAGCAGCCAGCGCTAAGGCGTCCCGACGGCCACGGAGCCTAACGTAAAACAACAATAAAGCTGCAGGAAGCCACGTGGTGTTTTTTGCTCCTCAAATCACCTGGGTTTAGGCAGCGGCGCGCACCTAACTGCAGCGAACACGCGAGCAAGGGGCCGAGCCAGGCGTGCGCCCACGGGCCTGGGTGGCCCTGGCCCAGTGCGTGCACCCGGAGCCAGCTGTGCGAGCGTCCCCGGGGCCGCGGCACGAGTCCAGGCGCGCGGGCCATGGCGGTGCGCGGCGCCAGGCGGGCGCTGCCGGGCTCTGCTCCTCGCTGCGGGTTGTTCGGAGCCGGAGCCCGGCTCCTTCTCCAGAGCGAGCCTCGCAGCACCAGCCCGGGCCCGTCCGCGCCGCCTCTCGGGGCGGCGCCGGGGACAGGCGGAGGCGGGATCCCCCCGCACGGTGCCCGCGCAGCGCCCGCCCGCAGAGCGGCGGCGGCTGCCTCGCGGGGCCGGGCCGGGGCGCGCAGGCGGCGGCCCCGCTCCCCTTTGTTGCGGTGGGGGCTCAGGGCTGGCGCGCGGCGGCGGCGGCGGCGGCAGCGTCTCCTCGCGCGCGTCAGGAAGGACGGAGGGGGAGGCAGCGGCGCGCGGCGGCTGCTGCGGCGGGCGCGTCTGTGGTGGCTCCGTGTCCCCGGCGCGAGCCGGCCGGGCTGACGGGCAGCAGCCTCAGCGGCGAGAGCGCGCGCAGCGGCCCCGCCGTGTGTGTGCGGGGGAGCCGCGCTTACCTGCTGCCGCCGCCGCCGCCGCGCTCAGTGCCGCAGTTCGCGGGGACGCTGCTGCCGGTGGGATCGGGGGGTTGGGGGGGGGGGGGGGTCTGCGCGCGTCTCTCCGGCCGTCGCCGCCGTCTCCTGCACGAGCATCCAGTGCGCGCGCGCGCCGGGGGTACGTGCATGCGCGGTGCGGGCGGGGCGCGCCTGCCGAGTGGGGGCAGGGGGACTCGCTCATTCTCGCGGGCGGGTCCCCCTTCCCCCGCGGGCCGCGCTGCCGGAGGCGAGGGGGGGCGCTCGCGCGCCGCGAGGCTCGCGCGGCCGCGAGGCGGTGACGTCATCCCTATGCGGGCGCCAAAAGAAGGAGCCGTTTTCTCGGGAACCCGCCCAGCCGCCCTTGCGTGCGCGAGCTTAGCGCCTGCCCGCCTCGCGCAGCCGGCCCCCAGGGCGGCAGCGACCCGGGCGGGGCGCCCTGGTCCAGGCCAGCAGGGAAGGGACCCCCGGCGCCCTGCTTTAGCCACTGGGGATGCGGGGCGGCGGTTGCCGCGGGGCCGCCCCTCGCCCCTCTCCGCAGCGCCGGGCTGAGGCGATGCCACTCGCCGAGGGCCCGGCTGGCGGAGGAGGTTGAGCGTCGTGTGCGACCGCCAACGGGGGCAGTTGTCGCGGGGCCCCCCAGCGCCTGTGACAGCGGTGTGCGGGGGAGCGGCGGGCCCAGATTCCTCCGGCCGGGCCTGACGGCAGCGGGGGAGCCGCCCCGGGGCGGGGGGTGAAGGACACCTGCGGAGCCGTAACAGAACTCGCAGCGGAGGCTGATCGCCAGCAAAGCGCCCCTTTGCCGTGCGGCGGCGGCGACAAGGGCAAAACCGGACCAGCTCCCGCCTGCCACCTGCCTGGCATAGAAGAGGCGCATGAGCAGTGGCCATGTGGATATATTTGTCTCGGTACAACAGCTGCCCGATCACCCATCCCTCAGCCGCAGCAGAGCAAGGGGCCTGGCTAAGGAACCACATCACCCCTGAGAACATCGCTTCCAATTGCTTCACACATGTGGGGCGCTGGAACAATTTGTATAGAGGGGGGTGCTGAGAGTCACTGAGCCAATCCTGTATATGATGGAAACCACTTCAAGCCAGCACGCCTACGGGCCAGCACCTCTGCTAGGGTTTCAATTTGTGCAAGAATAATATGTCCACTAAACAGCAGGGGAAAACATTATTTCGTGATCAGTCTTGTGTTCTCTTCTATTTCCAAATGAAAAATGAGTTCTTAAACTGCCAGCCAGATGGCAAGGTGTTCAGTGAAATAATTTGCAGGTAAATATAAATTTAAAATGTTACAAAATACTGTCTAAAGCTTTTAGACTAGCACGAAATGCAGAAGTTGATTTGGAAAAGATTAATGCAGAATCTTGATGGCTACATATCCACTGACTCAGGAACCGTTTTTGACAAAGAATACCAGAGAATATTGTAATAAAAACTTACTAGAAAAATCAGCTCAAAACTGTGGGAGCAATAAAGTGACTTAATTCACAACCTTCATAATTGCTGGCCCTTATCCTGGTGTCTCACTTCTCCATGATATTTTTATGTAATGATATATATATTTCTGTTCATTTTCTTTCTACTGGAGCCACATATTTTAACTGTTAAAGGCAGGTTCTGTATCACTTGTCTGTCAGTTGCAGATACAATAGAAATAACTATTGTGCCACTGGATATTGAAGGTTGCCAACCTTAAGATTTGACAGTAATATGGGTAGGTTATAGCCAAGAAGTAGTACTTTGATTACACTAAAATAATACTGTTATGAGCTGATTTTCTGGAAAACACAAATTCTGAGTTTTCTCATACATGAAGGGAGCATCTCATAAACATCTACAAAGACATCTCGTTTTCTTCCTTCAAATTCCCCCTTAAAACTACTTCGCTGTTGTAACCCTTCTGCCTGTCAGAGTTGGCAGCAACAAGGGCCGGGTTCAGTATCTAGGGGTTCCATTCCAATAACACAATGCAAAACCGGCTCGAGCCCCCACCCAGTGACCTGGGACAAATATATACTGCCCCGGCTGGGCACCTCCAAGAGGCAATACTTCTCCTCTTGCAAGCACATAGTCTGAATGTAGCAAAAAGCCTTTTAATAACAGAAACAATGTGGTATTTTGTTGGGGAAACACACTAACAGGATTCATAACACAACCCGTGAGCAAAAACCCACTCCAAGTAAATTGGGGCATGTTCTTTCCCTTTGGTTCTTGAGTCCAGCAACCCCAAATCACCCAAAGTCCCAAAAGTCTAATGACCCAAAAGTCTCTGTCCCTGGTCAGGAGCAGCCCCAGAGTTTGAAAGTTTATCTGCAGTTTTACTTCCCAACCTGGGTGGAGATTGAGGGGGGGCGGGGTGGGCGCGTTAAGGGGCACCTTACATGAGCCAAAGCTGATGGCCCCACCTCTCCATGGGGCTCCACTCTGCCAGCTGCTCCATGAGCTGCTCTAGGCATCCAACAAACTGCTCTGCTTGCCGTCCCACAAACTGCTCCACCATAAATCTGCAGGCTCCCCCACTACTTAACACTCAGTGATTTCAGTTCTTCTTAAGTTTGGCTCTTTTGTGATTTCAGCTTGTGGTAGGGGAGCCTCAGTGCTGGTGTGCCATTAGCCCAAAGTTAATTCAGCTCAGCAGCCTGTAATTAGACTCCTAATAGAATCAAAATTAGTTCTGATATTCCACAGTGGAGAGAGGAGGAAGTGCAATTAGCATTTAATACCCTCACCGGGGGGCCCATACCACCAAGTATTAATACCTATTTCCAGCCTTTCTCAAATTCACAGAGTTTTGGAACCCATGTCCCTTGCCTAGTGAGTGCTAGTTAGTTGATGGCGAGTCCCTCCATCATAACAAAAGGCCAAGGACAGTTCCACTGTCCTTGATTCCCATAATCAGGGTAATAACAATTTATTCTTCCTGCCCCAATAACAGAGACACTGAGGATCCCATAGCAGCCAAAGTGACCACTTGGGCAGCTATGGCGTCATTCTAGGCGGGGTGGGTGTGCCTGTGCAAATGAGATCAGCCCCTGAAGTTCTTTTCCACAACTTGCCATACCTCGCCACCAGATGTCAGAGTGGAACTCATCCTGACTCTGCTTATACTATCATACCTAGTTTCAGAGGAACAGCCGTGTTAGTCTGTATTCGCAAAAAGAAAAGGAGTACTTGTGGCACCCGAGCTGTAGCTCACGAAAACTCATGCTCAAATAAATTGGTTAGTCTCTAAGGTGCCGCAAGTACTCCTTTTCTTTTTATCATACCTAGAACAACCTTGACAGCAGATAAGCAGTTGGTATACTGAAACCACTGCTTATTTTGCTGACCCATATTGTCTCACTGTTTCTTAGTGCTCCTTCCAGCTGCTATATCCACCTGTTATTTTGTTTTATATTTATATTTTAAATGCTTTACTGCAGGAGCAAGCTTTGATGGGTTTGTAAAGTGGATTGAATAATGGGGACCTGTCCATTGTAGGCTCCTGGATACTACTACTGCAATACAAATAATGAGAGTCCTTTAAAGAACTTCTCAGTGACACAGCAGGTGTTGCAATTTGTTTTTTCTTCACCTTTGTGTTATAGGGCTGTTGAATGTGTGTTTGAATGTCCCTCTAGCGGTAACTCTTGTAGTTCTACTTAATACAGGAAATATATGCATACTACTCAGAATAGATTGCAGAAACTGTGGGTACATCTACACAGCAAAAAGAAGAAGAAAAAACAACCCCACAGAGCCTGTGTCAGCTGACTCAGGTTCACACTATGTGGCTAAAAATAGCAGGGTAAACATTCCAGACAGAGCTGGTACTTGGAGACCCCTTCCTCACCAGATCTCTGAGCCAGCCCAAGCCCAAATGTCTGCACTGTTAGTTTTACGCTGCAGTTCAAGCCCATGTTAGTTGACACAGGTTCTGGGACTAGTTCCTGTGGTTTTTGTTGCGCTTTTTGCTGTGTAGATGTACCATTTGTGTGTTTGAGGAATGAAAGATAAAGTATGGTTCATTGTTAATATAAAACCTTAAGCTTAATGTTTTCTTATACACAAAATTCTGACTGCACAATGTGATACAAAAGTTGGCAATGATGTGGGTGTGACCCTGAGCACCTCATACTCATACCCTACACACTGTCATAATAATCTGTACAAAATGTTTATTGTGAGGTATCATTTGAAAACTAATAATTCATTGTTCGTTAATATCCTTGCGGGATATATGTGCGTGGTGTGTATTAAAAGTTATGGATTTCTGCTGAAAAATGATCAAAGTGTATTTAAACCAGGCATGTCGGGAAGTTAGTGAACTGAGGTGAAGTTAGGTCTGCCCTAGACAAAGGAATGTGTTTGCTTCTCTGACCAGCTCATGAGGCAAAGACAATCAAGGTCCATTTTTACATATTAGGTAAGCAAAGCTAACAAGTGGGGTGTGAGACAGCCTGGCATCTACACCCAGCAGGAGAGAGATCTTGATCTGGGTTTTACTTTCCAAAGACTACATTTCAAAGGTTTACTGGTCTATAAAGACGGGGTGCTGAACCTCAAATGATAAACAATAGAATCAACTGATTCTGTATAATATTGCTGTATTATAAAAGTGTATAG